TGGGTGACCCACAGAGGGCCCTTCCAACCCCTGCCATTCTGTGATTCTGATTCAGAAGGGGGACAAGGGCTATAGCTGATTTTTCTCCCGGAATACCTGCTGCTTCCTGGGTTTTGTAGCCGTGCCACAGTAGATGAAAAGGTGGAGGATGAAAGCAGAGAGTCCTCTCCCCGGAGTCAAAGTCCGTGCTTCCTTTGCTCCGTGGGAAAGGGAAGAGCTGTGTCCCAGCAGTGCTGCGCGAGGGTTTGGGCGCGGGAAGGCGACGAGCGCAGACGGTCTGAGCTGCCCCGGCCCGCTGGGGAGCCGGACAGACACCCGAAGTATATTACCTCATAAAATTTCTCAAAAGCCCGGAGATTAATGGAGGCAGAGAATTTTGAAATACTCCCTTTTCAGGGCCGAATGCAGATGCTGCCAAGCCAGCTCCATCTAGCACAGGAGGAGCCTGCGGTTCTTGCTCGCTCTTCGGGCCCCTGCTTCTGTGTCGCCCTTTTATCAGTGCAGTGATTCCTCTGTGTCACGGGGCAGCACCGTACGGCACAGCGCTTCCCTGCAGACCGCGAAGCACAGGCAGGTCATGGGGCAGGTCAGAACGGCAGGCATCACCTGCGGGCGAGCACGGAGGCTCCAGAGCTCCCTGGCAGAGCTCAAAATACATTGGAGAGGCTCTCCAGTACGTAATTAAAATCTGTTTTGGCAATAGGGGAGGAATGCAGACTGGAGTGGGAAAAAAAAAAACAGGAGGCTGGGAAAATCCAGAACCGTCAGGAATCAGGAGATGAGCAAACCAACTGGAATTAGAAGAAAATCAAAGCAAACCTTTCTCCCAGAACGTCGCCAGTCCCTAGCTAGTCCCGAGCTAAACCCTGCCTCGTAATCCCCGTTACCCCGTCCCCGGTCCCCCCAGGCTGGGCGAGGCGGTGGGGAGCACCCTCAGCCCGGCTGCAGGGTCGGTGGGAGGGGGCACGAAGGCGAGGAGCTGGCGGAGCCGGCCCGCGGTGTCAGTCTCTGCAAGGGCCCAGAGCAGCCAGGCAGCAAACAGGACAGCAGGGAAACACAGAGAAATATTTTAATTTAATTTAGTGTGATGTTCAGCTCAAAATAAACCAAGTAAATTGTTTCTTTCCTTTAATTACCTGTTTCTCCTTTGAGTCGCCCTGGCTTGTCAGCGCCGGGGCAGTCTCCAGTAGCAGGCCATCCTACAAATAATTACGGAGCTTGCCAGCGTACTTCCTACCGGAGCAGCCCGAGGGAGCGTCCCTGGAACTGGAGCAACGGGGAATCGGGGCAGGCTGAGGAAGCGGGTGTCCTGGCAGCGCGGTCGGGATGCGATAGCCCGCAGCCACAGCGGCAGAGCTGCCAGCTGGGGAAGAGGGGCGAGACGTGCTCGCTGGGAGGCCGGGTGCCCTTCTGCGGGCTGTGCGGTGTTTCGTGAGCTCCCAAGGCAGTGCCAGCTGCTCCTGGGTCTGCGCAGAGGTCTTGGGAGCTGGCTGGGACACAGCCTGCCCCGGGAGCCACCGCTCCCATGCCCCGCTTCTGTTCAGCCAGCGCAACAGGGTGCAGGGTCACTGCTCAGGCACTGGGGCTGACGGTCGCTCTTGCTTGAGGACTGCGTCTCTCACGTCTGCAAACCCATCACCGTCTGTCTGTTTTACAGGGGAATTTATCAAGGCACTGTACGAATCAGATGAAAATTGTGAGGTGGATCCCAGTAAGTGTTCATCTTCGGACCTTCCTGAACATCAGAGCAACCTGAAGATGTGCTGCGAGCTGGCCTTCTGCAAGATCATCAACTCCTACTGGTGGGTGTCCGCGAGCGTGGCTCCCCTCCGCGTGCCCTCAGCGAGCGCAGAGGCAGGGACGGGGAGGGGGGACAGCAGCCC